GGCTTGCGAGGTTGTTTCGATTGAACACAAGTATGGCACTTGGAACCTTTTACCAAAGTGAATTTTGGAATTAAACTCATGTTAGCTAAGCGCGTCATACAACCGAAATTCACATGACAGAGTCGCGAATGCCACACATTAGACTCATCATTCTCGCTAATATGGTTCACAGCATTATGATTATTACACATGTCATTCAAAGAAAAGCGGAACAAGCCTCCGCTGTCATAACCTTTTCCAACAAAAGTCCCATATTTAGATACGACACATTTATTGGACTCAAACACAAGTCTAAAACCTTCTCTACACAATAGAGAGCCGCTAACTAGATTCTTCTTTATTGAAGGGACATGCTGCACGTTCTTCAGCTGCACGGTCTTTCCCGAAGTAAACTTCAGATCGACCGTACCAACACCATGAACAGCCGCAAGCGACCCGTTTCCCATCAACAAGGAGGAACCTCTCCCGACCTGATAAGAAGAAAATAGAGAAATGTCAGCACATACATGAATATTAGCACCAGTGTCCACCCACCAATCAGGTGAATGAAAAACAGAGAGAACTGTAGGTAATATTTTACCGTACCTCGATGTTCCTCCGCCCTCGCTAATGATCATGTTGGCAGACTTCCTGTCTTTGCGCTCAGGACAGTCCTTGGCCCAATGCCCAGACTTGCCACACACAAAGCAGTCTCCCTTTGCCTTTCCCTTGCTTTTCTTCTTAAAATTGGTTGCAGCCTTGGGTTTGACATCAGGCTTGACTTTCTTGTTGTTGTGGGATGCATGAGGGTTCTTCTTCTGTACCATATTGGCACTAGAACCTCCCTCAACCTTTTTGCCCCGGACGTCCTTTGCCCTCGCCTTCTCCTCAACACCCAAAGAGCCAATGAGATCAGGAACACTGAACTCTTGTCTCTTGTGCTTTAGAGAAGTGGCAAAGTCCGACCAAGAAGGTGGTAGTTTGGCAATAATGCCACCTGCCACAAACTTGTCCGGCAACTCACAGTTGTTGTTCTCAAGTTCCTTAGCCAGCATCTGAATCTCATGAGCTTGTTCAACTACAGAACGGTCATCGACCATCTTGTAGTCATAGAACTGCTCCATAACATACAGCTCACTGCCGGCGTCAGAAACTCCGAACTTGGCCTCAAGTGCATCCCACATGTCCTTCCCAGAAGGCATGTGCATGTACACGTCCACTATGTTGTCAGCGAGTACACTGATCAATGCTCCACGGAACAGGCAATCCGAAGCCTCGAACTTAGCCTCTTCCTCAGGAGAAAGAGGTGGTTCACTTCGTTTGCCCCGTGAAACATAGAAGCACTGCATCGCTGTCAACCACAATAGTGCACGTGCTTTCCATCTCTTATAGTTTGAACCATCAAAGGCATGTGGTTTCAGTGCAGCAGCAAAGCCAACTACCGAAAATGACCTATCAGGTTTTTGGAATGTTGGAAATTTGGTCATAATTCGGCATATTTTAATCCAAAATAACAAGATAATAATCATGATATTTACAATAGGATTTGATCCAGTGATAGTGGTGAATGTAATCAACATGAGCATGCTTAACGTTGAATAAGCATCAACAATTACATAATGACACAATGTTGACATTGCGATGAACATTAACAGTAAAACTTCTAATTGAAATAATGTAATAAGGTTATACCCCAAGAATGGTCCTCCGCTGGAGTTTGAGGCAGTATTGCCTCAGTTGGTGTTGATGGGAGTCTCCTTCTCCTTGTCTCCAGTGTTCGACATGTTGGTGAAGATGAAGTAGATGTTGACGAACAGTGAGTAGTCGCGCCTTGCGCTCCCCAAAAACCTGATCGCCCGCCCGTCTGTGCAAACGTCGCAGCAACGCGTGGTTTCGGAGGCCTACTCTCCCAACGCGTGTGCACACACTCGTCGGGATGGGATTACCGTAGCAACAACAGCTTTGGAAAATGGATGAAAGTGTGTCTTCTTCTTCTCGCGGGAGATCAAATCCATTCCCATTTTATAAGAGGAATGGAAGATGAAGAGTAAGAGTCATGGAATAGGAAGAGGAATGGAGCAACTAATTGTCATCAACTAGCCATGAACCATCCTCCACTACACAACCATCAACCAACAATCAATTAAGAGTAATTGATGTAAGTTACCAATGGAATAGGAAGAGGAATAGAGCAACTAATTGTCATCAACTAGCCATGAACCATCCTCCACTACACAACCATCAACCATCCATCAATTAGGACTAATTGATATAAGTTACCAATTCCTTAATCAAATGGATTAATTCTCAAAACTCTTCATCCCATTGATATCCCATAGAAGAATGAATTCACATGAATTCCTAGCATAATGAGCCTTGGAATTTATTTGATTTAATTGATTTAAATGGATTAATTACCCAATTAAATCTAACAGCCGTCTTCCCCTACTTCCTCGCCTGCGGCGCCGCCTCCAACGTCTCCTTCCCAGGCGACTCCCCAGCGCGCACCTTCGTCCTGGACGCTCCCTTGCTCTCATCTACCGGCCATGTCCCGGACACGGTGTTCTTCCCGAACAACCTGGTGGAGCCACATCGGGAACCCGTCGAGGCGACGTGCTGGGCCTCCTTGGCGCGCACCCCGTGGTTACCCTGGTGACGCTGCACCGTACCTGGACTTTCTGCAGCCGGTATTCCCGACGACGAGGTCGCGGACGGCAGCGCTGAGGCGGTTGTTCGAGGGGCCCGCGAGGCTTGACTCGGCTGGCGTGGCGCAGCAGTCGGTGTGCTACGACGGCGAGTCGGTGACAAGCAGTGGCTCTCGCCGACGGCCACATTGCATATTCGTTCTGTTCTAGGCTAGCTAGTATCGATCTGTTTTAGTGTGTATCGAACTATCGATTATAAACGAATCGAGTGTGTCCTGCTTGTGCTAGCTAGTATCTACCGTGCTTGTGTTCCCGTAAAGGCTGCACCAATCGACAATGGTGGGTGGAGGTTGAATCGGCGGCTCGAGCGTGGTGGCTGCATCTCAAAGCTGCCACGGTGTCGGCCGAGCTTGAGGACCGCGCGAGCGGCGACTGGCGGCCGAGCTTGGGGACTGCACGAGTGGCGAAAGCGACGGCCGTGCTTAGAGGCTGCGACGGCAATGGCTGTGCTCGGGGAAGGCACATCCTCACGTGGGTGGGCGTACGGTGAGGAGCAACCGGAGTTGGAAGAGAAGATGGCGATGAGAGAAGCCAAGGTTAATTTGGTCCTAGAAAGTATTTTGGCGTGTAAACATGTGTTGATAGTGGCATTTTATCGAATCCATTGTGCGGAATGGCATTTAGGCGAAACCCACTTTTGACGATAGCACAATGTCAATTTTCACACCCCCTCCATTCCCTTGGAGGGAATCCCAGGCTCCCAGCCGAGGAAAGCCTCCCCTGTGTCCATTTGGAAAACCGATTTACCCCCTGAACTATCGCGGTCGACCGATTTACTCCCCTAAACTCGAAAACCAAACATTCGACACCCCAAACTCTTAAAACCCAACAAATTACCACCCTAACACAGATCGAAGCGGTTTTCTGCCTACGTGGAACACACGTGACGATACAGTTAGCAAAAACAAATAAAGAAACTAGTGGGGCTCACTTGTCAGCATTTTTTTCCTCTCCTCCTTTGCCTCTCTCTCGGTGAGCAGAGGAGAGAACACGCGGCTGCGGCGAGCCAAGGACGCGCTCTGCCTCCGCCTCCACCGCCGACCGCCCGAACTCGCCGCCTCCATCGCCGGTCGCCCGAGCTTGCTCTGCGTTCGCCGGCGGACGTGGTTGGACGGCCACGATGCCGACGACCAGGACGACGGACCGTTCGCCGCCTCCACCACGCCAACGAGAGAAGCAGAGAAGGGAAGGGAAAAAATGCAGAGCTCGAGCGTGCGGCCGTCCATCCTCGCCGACCCTTCCGTCTGCCCCATGCGCCGCCGCAGCAACCTCATCCATGGCGGCGGCGGCAAGAAGTGCGGCGGCGAGCGGCGGTGCGCATGGCGATGCTGCTTGGCTCGGCTCGGTTAGCTCGCTCGGTGTATATGCATGGACACAGGTTGTACAGATGTGTGCTGCTTGCCGGTGTGACGGGGTAGTTTTACAGAAGCAGCAGCGAATTTGGGAACACTAGGAGCAGCAGAAGAATCAGGTGACATCTTGAGCGGCAGGCGCGACGGCCGGGGAGGGGAAATCGATGGCGCGGCTGTGTGGCTCCGGTTAACAGCGACGACGGTCGATGGGGACGACGTGGACGGGCGGCGAACTCGTCGCCGTAGCGCACCGCCTCCAATGCCCTCCTCAGCGCCGCACAACGCGCGCCGCTCGCCGCGCCATCCCCGAGGAGGTTTCATCGCCGGCCGCCTGCCTGAGCCAAGAAAGAGAGAGAGAGGAAGGCCGTGGATCCCGCCGACTCCCCGTCGAAACCGGAGAAGAGGCTCCGCACCTCTCTCCGCCGCCTCCGACTAGAAGGATGACCTCGACGGCGCCCGCCTGAGCAGAGGACTCGTCGCCTCGTCGCCGTAGCCGCGGAGCTCGAGAGGGTGGTGGATCTGTCGCCGTAGCCCGTCGCCTCCAACACCCTCCTGGCCTCCTCGGCGCCACCCGTTGCCCGCCGCGACCTCCCCGCGTTCCGCCGCCGGCCCACGCGCGCCGACCGCCCGCCCGCCCCAGCACGCCGCCGCCCGCCGCCCATCGCCGCCCCCCGCCGTGCACGCTCTGAGCCTGAGAGAGAGGAAAAGGAAGAGGAAGAAGGGAATATAATGCAGGGAAAAGTCCATTCTACACCCTCGAAGTCTTGTGCTTGTCTAAAATACACCCCCGAACTACAAAACCGGATATAATACACTCTCGAACTGTCAATACCGGACGCTTAACCCCCCCGGGCTGTTTTCACCGTGGTTTTTGCCACGTCGGATGCCACATCGGATGCCACGTCAGCCCTAGCCACATCAGCGCAAAACATTAACATGGGCCAAGCCCATATTCTCTCCCCCTCTCTCTCCCTCCCCCTCCCCTGTTCATTATCTTCTCTCACGGCCGTTGGCGGGCGGCGGCGGCGGCGGCGCAGAGCTACGAGGGCGGTGGCGGCGCGGAGCTGCGAAATCGACGACTACGGCGGCAGCGGCTGCGTGGAGCTGTAAGGGCGGCGGCTGCGGCGGCGGCGTGGAGCTGCGAGGGCAGTGGCGGCGGGGAGCTGGTGCGAGGGCGGCAGCTGCGGCATCGGCGGCGCGGAGCTGCGAAATCGACAGCTACGGCGGCAGCGTAGAGCTGCGAGGGCGGCTGCGGTTGCGTGGAGCTGCGAGGGCGGCGGCTGCGGTGGCGGCGTGGAGCCGCGAGGGCGGTGGCGGCGGGGAGTTGGTGCGAGGGCGGCGACGCTGCGAATCACGAGCTTGTTGCCTCGCTCAGAAGTGGCCGACCTCGCCGGAGCCATACGCGCGGGGAGGAGTCATCCCTATGCGCTCGCGCCGCCACCGCTTGGTCGAGGACGAGGTCGAGCTCAAGCTCTACATCCGCCGCCGCCTCGTCGAGCTTGAGTTCCTCATCCCCAAGCAGCTCGAGTTCCACCGGCGAGCTCGAACATGGAGAAGATGGAGTTATGGAGCTCCTGGAGCCGGCAGAAGAGGTAGACCTTTGAGCTCGTGCTCGCCGGCGGTCGGCACGGAAGGGAAGGCTGGGGATGTGCTTGAGCTCCGTCGCCGCAACGAGTCCCCTGCTCCACGGCCACCGATCTCCTGCTCAGCTCCACCGCTGCTCTCTGTCTGGGAGGAAGAAGGATAGAGAAAGAAAGGGAAGAGGAGATGGGGGAAGAAGTGGCCACTAACGTGTGGCTCTAATTTTTATTTTTAGTTTTATTTGCTGAGTAGACTTCCACATCATTGCCACATAGATGAAAACCAGCTGAAAAACCACTTGAGGGTGTAAAGTGAACGGTATTGAAAGTTGGAGGGGGTGAAATATCTGGTTTTAAAGTTTTGGGTGTATTTTAGACAAGACAAATAGTTGGAGGGTGTAAAATGGACTTATCCCTATAATGTATGACAAGTGGGTCTCACTATTTTTTAAAAAATAAAATGCTGACTGAATTACCACGTGTACACCACGTAGGACAAAACCACTTTAGATTCGGTCGAGAGGGTAATTTGTCCAGTATTGAAAGTTTAGGGTGAGTAATATCTAGTTTTTGAGTTTAGGGGGTAATTCGGTCAACCACGATAATTTAGGGGATAATTCGTACTTTTTCCTTTAGAAACATGCCAGGGGAAATTTTTCATGTAGCCAAAAAAAATAAAAGAATAATTAAAAACCATATAAAATCTCAAAAAACAGAAATATCGCAGAAATATATTAAAAAGGAAAATCTAGATAAAGTGAAAAACCCAGCAGAAAATCTAGAATAATAAAAAAATAAAAAAAATATTCAACAAGAATATAGAAAATACTAAGTCATATTTAAATGAGGTACCCTTTTCACAAGATCAGAGAAAATAAAAATTGATCTATGCAACATACTGAGATCATGATGAGCTTTATAATGTAATAAAATATCATAAAAGCTGCAGAAGTATCAATGGCATCCATGCATCCACACATGCAAATAATATATTTCATACAAGGTTATAATGTCTTGATCAAGAAAGAATGATGAGTAATCAAAGAAATAGGGCTGAAGTCTACAGACTATAGAGAACCCATACTAGCTAGTACATGCTAGCTAGCATTTGCTTATATCACGATGGGATAAAACTCTGTACAAAATCTCCCAAATGTTCTCCAGGTACAAAAACTTGATGAAATGCATGTGTGCCAACCATGTCCATAAGGCATCTTGAATCTCCCAATCATACTCTGCATTATAAGAATAATTGTTCTGCATATTCGTTTGAAAGAGATTGCAGAGTGTCATAACATATATTATGGGCACTTACTGAACCAGAACCAATACGACAGTGTATAGCTAAGTGAACCAACTACTTAGTATGACAGCTATTTGCTTCCTGAAACAAGCTTCCGAGAGATAACTAAAGAAAGGATATATGCAGAGTATTATTTGTCGAATTAAAGAAAGTATAGCGAAAGAAGGACTATCTAGGAAGATTAGTAAAAACAGGATATTTACTTGATACAGTACAGGAAACTACTGCTAGCAAAACAAAACTAATCTTCCCTCCTCAATCGAAATAAATTTAGCTCTGTTCTTATCTCCAAGTTCCCAAACCCTCTTCCTCGTTTTCCGCGCGCACGCTTTTAAAACTACTAAACGGTGTGTTTTTTGTAAAAAGTTTCTATACGAAAGTTGCTTAAAAAAATCAAATTAATCCATTTTTGAAAAAAAAATAGCTAATACTTAATTAATTATGCAATAACACTTGCTTCGTTTTACTGCCATATCTGATCACAAAATGATTACAAATGACAACAACGACACAACTCAAAAGATCGATCGGACACATATTCATATATGATTCCCTTTAAAACCATTTTATTGTATTATTGTGTCATTACAGCAGATCTACCTGCTATTGAACATGACAAAACCTTTAATCCTTCCTGATCTAGCTCAGTTAAGAGTAAAGTAGGGCCTCAAATCATTGCTTTGGTCAGTGATTTGAGGCCCTTGGCCTACTAAAGTGCCGCATGACTAAAGCACCCAATACATCATTTCGCTGGTGAGCTTGTACATCTCAGACCTGTGCTTCAGCATGCGGAGCCCTCCTCCATTGGCACCACCAGCATCGTCGTCGTCATCGCAGCGCTCCACCTCGACGGCGGTTAACACAGCGAACAGCTCCTCGCCATCACGCTGATCCTCATCGGTCTGAAAGAACCTGGCAATGCAGAACTTGGCGGCTCCTAGGTTTACGAGGTATGAGCTGACAAGCTGGAGGGCGTCGGGTGGCGTGAACTCCAGAGGAAGGCTGTGAAGCACCGGCAGCTTGGTGCCATCGAGATCCAGAGCGGAGAGGACCAAGCTCCTCCTCCTGTCTCCAGTGCTGCATGAGAGGCCAAACCAAAGGCCGTGCTCATGGCAATACTCGGCGAGACCAACAAATGGCAGCTTCCAGCCAGTGGCCACTGTGCTCCACACATGGCTCACTGTGTCAAAGCAGTAGATGCCACTGCCGTGCGTGGATGACATCCAGATCTCCATGTCACCAACCACAGCGTACGAGTGGACATGCAAATCGGACTTGTGAGACAGCGGCGGCGGCGGCGGGGGGAGAGCGTGGCATCGCCAATCCTCATTTAATCCATCCTCGTAGATGAGCCCATAGAAGCAGCCGCAGGGGACGTTTCCACCGCCGTCGTCGTTGACATGGCGGCGCGACGTGTCAAGGATATAGAGGTCGTCCCCAACGGTGACGGAAGTGGTAAGCAACCTGACTTGGTAGGGAAGTGCGGGCATGGTGCGGACGGCGTGCTCGCCGGGGTCATAGAGGACGGTGCGGCAAGTCTGGTCGACGGCGACCACCGCGTTGTTGTGATTGCCTCCAAGGAGGAGGAACTCCATCTTCTGGTTCCCAAACAACGTGGAGAAGGGAGGGTAGAAGGTCATGGCTGGGCATGGCAGGCTAGCATACTCCACCGCGTCGGCGGCGACGGCCGACGCCACGGATGGCACCACCGGGGTTGGACGTGGCAGGAAGAAGCGGTCCATGTCAATGTTGCGCAGCGTGTAGTTGCTGCGGCGGCGGCCAAACTCCTCCAGCAACAGATAAACAAACCGACGGGTGGTGCTCATCATCAATAAATCGATCAATATGATAATATACTGTACAATTGAACATAGGGACCCCGCGTCGCTCTCGCGCGGGCGGCTCGGGGGGCGAAAACCCTAGCCGCCCGCGCCTCCTCCCCCTCTCCCCCGCCTCGCCGCCGCCGGAGCTCGCCGGCGGCAAAGCCGGCAGCGAGCAGGGAAGGCGGCGGCAAGGTCCTTTCTTCCTCTTGGCAGCTCCCTCCCGGCGCGACGTGGACGGGGCGACGTCGATGAGGTACCCCACCGCCGGGAGAAGTGGAGGCGGCGGGGCGGTGTGGGGTGGCGGCGGATCCGGCACCCCCATGGCCGGATCTGGCGCGGCAGCGCGGCCCGGCGGTGGTGCGCGGCTGGGGGCGGCGACGGTGGCCCGACGGCGCGATGCGGCTGGGCAGCGGCGGCGGCCCGGCGGCTGGGAGCGGCACGGCAAGGCGGCGGCGGCTCCGGCGGCGCCCCGCCCGGATCCGGCGTCCCCACGGCCGGATCCGACTCCCGGATGGCCAGGGTCGTTATGGCCGGCGTCGCTGGCGACGGGAGGACGGCGCGTGCGGAAGGACGGCGCATGCGCGACGGGAGGACGCCGGCGTTGAGGTCGATGCGTGCGGCGCCGTGCAGCGGGCCGACGCGGCAGTGGCTGGCGCCGGCGATGCTTGCCGCCGGACCTCGTGATCCTCGTGGATGACCGCCGATGGGGGCTGCTGCCAGATGGATGGCTGCGTTGTGGGGGACCCGACTGGGACACCGGCTTGCATGGCGGCGGCGGGGTCGTTGCACGTCGCCCGTGTGGCGGCGCTGCAGGTGTTGGCCGGTGGAGATGCCGCCGGATCTGGGGTCGAGCTCGGATTCAGCCGCACAGTACTGCCATCACGACCGGCGATGACGAGGGGACGCCATGTGGGTGCCTTCTCATCTCCTTGGAGCTCCTCCCCTTCTTGACCGCCTGGTCGTGGGGAGCTCCTTTGCGAGACGGTGAAGACGGCGGCAAGGTTGCCCCAGGTTGTTATCGATAGTGATGGGCGGTGGCGGGCACTCTCTTTGTAGGTGACGGCATGGGAGGAAGGCTAGCTGGTCGCCGAAGTGCAGCGGTGGTTTGGTCGTGCTCGTTCCAACGTGTAGCTGTGGGGGTCGCGCTGGCAGCAGGTTAGGTCGCTTGGAGTCCAGCCGACGGAGGGGCGTCGTTGCTGTAGAGGCCACGTGTTGACATTGCCTGGGAGTTGGTGAGGTAGCGGCAAGAGGGGCATTGGCAAGTGCTAGGCGAAAGCCAGCCCAATTCTTGGGCGGCAACGGCGATGTCTTTGGGCGTTGCAACCCTCTTGAGGGCGTTGTTGAGGTGCCTCCCTCCCCCTCTTCAAGGATCCTCTAGGTGAAAACCTCATCCTTTCGGGATGGGCGATGGCGGCGTTTTGAATGTCGTGACCTTCTTGAAGGCATCGTTTTGGAGGTGGCTGTGTGTTCCTCTCGGTGTGGTGGTGTGTAGGCACGTGGCGGGGTGTGTTCTCTTGTCCGGTTCCCCTGTCCCCTGCTGCTTTTGCCTTTGGTTGTAAATGTCTATTTTACTCCTCTTAATGCAAAAATACGCTTCTAGCGTATTCCCGAAAAAAAAATCGATCAATCGGATTGAATTGCTCTGGATCTCCTTCTCCCCCACAACGAACAACTAGGCTACTACTCTGAAGAATCAGAAGAGATCTAGATCGATGGGTGCCTCCCACCCCTTTGGGTTAGGGTTAGAGACAGATCAACGAAGAGAAAGTAGTAAAACTTGGTATTTATTTGTCTTCGTTTTGGACTAGAACTTCCTATCCCAAGCGAAGCCAAATGATCTTTCTCGTTGCAAATCTCACCTTAGCAGAGAGAGGGAGTGGGGGGAGCCGCCCAACCGCTACTCCTCGAGCGAATCGGAGAGTCGCCGGCGGCGGACAGACGACGGGAAGGGGATGGTGGAGGAAGAGAGAGAGAGAGGTGGGGAGGGAGTTGGCTCCGGCAGCGGTCGTTCTGGTGGCGGCGTGAGTGCGGCCTGCGGCGGCGTCCGGGGAGCACGCCGGGTGAGTTAGCGAATTTTTTTTATTTTTAATTTTTTTTATTAAAAGTTTTACAAAAATAATTTTTCATTTTGAAAATTGACAGAAGTGGTCGCCTACCGCCCTCTGGGAGGGCGATTTTTAAAAATCGCCATCCTAGAGGGCGGCGAAAGTGACGTGGCAGACGGCCGTTCGCTCTCGGGCGACGGCCGTCAACGAAATTTGCAGGCGGCCCCCTTGCCGCCCTCCGCTAGGGCAATTTTGTACTGTGCGGGGGGCCGCCTGCAAATGGGCAGCGGGGGGCCTGGAATTTTGCAGGCGGCCCCCTTGCCGCCCTGGGGGAGGGCGATTTTTGCCTCCCCCTATAAAGCCCAGCCCTCTCTCTGAAATTTCATTATATTCAGTAAAAATCCAAAAAAAAACGAAAGAGAGAGAGGGGAGGGCAGCAGAAGGGGAGCGGCGAAGCCCTGCTGGTTCGCTCACTTCATCACAGGTTTGCTCCCATACATCTTTTGCATTTGTACTAATATGTTATGTTTGAGTATATATGTTGCGTTTTAGTTTTAGTTCCATATATTTTAGCAGATCTGTAGCACACAGCACATATGTGTAGATCCAGAGCATAGAATATAATAGTATGAATTGAGACATAGACAGTAGTGTTAATTGTAAGATGTAGTTTAGTTTGATCTGGAGAATGTAACCTACTTTTAGAATTTTGGAGAACAATATTGTAGAGAATGTAACTTAGGGCGTAGTACAGAAATGCGAGGTTAACGCAGTTATTGTTTTCATCAGGCACAATGTCAAATAAGGTCACATTTCAGATAGTTCACGGTGAAGGAAATATTAGATTTGGTCCAGATGGTATTGATCTGTCAGATTTTGTAATGACATCTAAGGGCATCGATAGGCCTGCGGAGAGAACATTTCAGTCAATTTATAGTTGGTTGTTGAGAGGATTTAGAATAGACCAAGAAGTCTACACAATGTCAGTATCAGTTGTAGTGAGTCGTGCAACAGAAGGTTATTTTTGGGAACTAATGCCGATGGACAGCACTGCTGCTTGGAGACGGTATGTGGAAATGGCTTTTGAACGGTCATGGCCCCTCGTTATATTTGTATCGGTACAAGAGAAAGATATAAATGTTTCAATGCAAACCGAAGATGTAGAGGGTCCTATCAACGCAGGGGATGTTGTTGGACCATCGATGTAAAATGAGGAAAATCAACCAAGGGAGGAGCAGGCCATGGGCATGGCGGATGAGGGGGAGAGAGTCGGTATAATTGTTGATGAAATGGAGAGGGAAGATTCGGATAATGAGGAAGCGGACGACGACGCATCATCCGATGAGGAAGGTGATGTAATGGCCACTGATTGGGCAAATGAGGACTTCTCTGGACTTGTTATATCAGAGGGTGATCATGTACCCTGGGAGTATAAGGAGAACGAGGTAATTGAGGGTGCAAGGTATGCTCATAAGGATGAGATGAAGGAGGCGGTGAAACATTGGGCAGTTTCCTTGCAGAGAGAGTTTAGGGTAGTCAAGTCAACAAATTATGTGTATGAAGTGAGGTGCATGAAGGAAGATTGTCCGTGGCGTGTCCATGCATATAAGGGTAAATGGAATGATTATTGGAAAGTTAGCATTGTGACCGAGCACAAGTGCTACTTACAAGGGGTGGAGAAGTATCACCGAAACATCACTTCAGCTTTTGTGGCAAGTGAGATGTACAGCAGTGTTGTTGGTAACATTGGCTTTGAACCAAAATCAATTATTAGGCACATCGAGAACAAATTCAAGTACACCATAAGCTATGCAAAGGCCTGGAGAGCCAAACAAAAGATTATTGAGATGAGGTATGGCACATTTGAAGCTTCTTATGATAATTTGTCTCGTTTGTTAGCCACCATTGCCCAGAGGAATAATAATACTTACTATGACCTACATACATTTACATCGGTTGATGATCGAACAAAGAGTGTGCTGCAAAGAGCCTTTTTCTCATTGGGTGCTTGCATCAATGCTTTTGTGCATTGTCGACCTGTTCTATGCATAGATGGAACTTTTATGACAGGTAAATACCGAGGTCAGATATTGACAGCAATTGGGTGTGATGGGAACAACCAGGTTCTACCTATGGCTTTTGCATTTGTAGAGAGTGAGAACACTGAAAGCTGGTACTGGTTCCTAGAGAGAGTGCACATTGCAGTGGTGCGTATGAGGCCCAACGTTTGCCTTATACATGATCGTTATGCGGGTATGTTGCGGGCTATTGACTACTTGCAGAACGGTTGGGATGAGAAGGGACTTCCAGCTAAGTGGCCTGATGTTCGGAGTCGGTGGTGCATGCGTCACATGGGTGCAAATTTCTACAAGCAATTCAAGAACAAGCATCTTATGGAGCTCTTTAAGAGGCTCTGTGCACAGAACCAAGAGAAGAAATTTAATGAGTTGTGGGACAAGTTGGATGAGTTGACAACGAAGCAAACAGATGAGCAATCTCGCAGACCACAAGTTGAAGGTGACGAGCCTCCCATACCTCTTGGTGCATTACATGATGACCCACCAACAATGAGAAGGAGGTTAGGGCCGTCCATCAGAAATTTCACTCAGTGGATTGAGAATGAGCCTAAGGAGAAGTGGTCTCTATTGTTCGACACCGATGGATCTCGGTATGGCATAATGACAACCAATTTGGCAGAGGTGTACAACTGGGTAATGCGAGGAGTTCGGGTACTTCCATTGGTTGCTATCATTGAATTCATCCTTCACGGCACGCAAGCCTACTTTAGGGATCGATACAAGAAAATTGGTCCGTCCATGGCCGATAACAACATAGTGTTTGGCAACATAGTGACAAAGTACATGGAAGATAAAATCAAAAAGGCACGGAGACATAGAGTTGTTGCTCAAGGCACACAAGTGCATCGGTATGAAATAATGTGTGTTGATAGGAGCAGGCGTG